CACCATCATTATAACTAATTATTCATCTCATATCTTAGCACCTTTCCAACAATAGTCAACTTTGCAGGTTTTTTTCTCTCTTTTTAGAGATTTATTTTATTTTTTTTTAATGAGTAGAATATTTTGCCTGCTTGTGTGTCTGTGCACCATGTGCATGCAGCACCCACAGAGGCCAGAAGAAATCATCGGTAATTACTATTGTTGTTGTTTGTTGTAATCGTCATCATCATTATCATCATCACCAATGATAAAAAGCAATACTTGATCAGGTCACAGGCCTTCCAAAGTCCCTAGTCTGAGTGCCGATACAAAGGTGGAGCTGCTTGTCTGGCAAGTTGGAGGCTATCCTGATGCTCACAGGTGTCAAAAATTATCACTGTAGTTCGGCCCTCGGTCTTTCTTGCTAGAAGGATTTTGCCCTCTACTTTAAGCCTATAAATACCATTATCTCAATACAACCTTTGCTTCTATTGAATTATAAAGGTGTGAAACTATTGTTGTGACTTCCCAAACTCTCTTTAGTTCATTTCAAATATCGCCCCCACTAGCTAAGGAAGCCTTCTGGTTGTAGTATAATGCAAACAAGGCAGGCTGCTTGCATTGTTAGGCCTTAGTTCTCCTGAACTTCTCCCACCACACATACATACATACACACACACACACACACACACACAAACACCATCCCAATCACCTCTCGCTGTGCCCATGAATATAGCTGTAGACTCCATGAACTGGTCCTGAAACAGGTAAGTAGAGAGGTTGGCTCTTTGTCTTCTTCTGGTTCCCAGCAAGTTAGGGTACTCTGGAGAACCCCAATAAAGAAGAAGAAAGGTCAGAAAAAAATGGACTTTGTCTCTGGCCATTTGGAGCAAGCAATACTTCCCAAGCAATTGTAAAATAATTGAATCTGAGCCAACTGATGCTTGACAGTGCATGCCACCCAGGATCTTGCACCATGGCCAGTGTGAGGCTGGGAATTAATAACAGTGAGCGATTATCATAGAAACTGTCTCCAGGAAAAACGACTTTTTTTTTTAACCATTCATCCTTGGGAAGATAAAATCGGGTCTAGCAGAAAAAGACAAATGATCTAAGAGCAAAAGCTGGACTTGAAATCCAAAGAGCATCCCGGGACATGACTATGCACTAGCAGCATCTCCCGGTCCCATCTCAGAATCATGGAGTCATCCTGTGCTATCCCTAATACCTCCTGGCCCTTGCTTGTTCTTCTCGATGCTAATTTCCTCTTTCCTGAAGACTCTGCTAGACCCTTCTGTGTGTCCTGTTGAGCTCTTCTTGAGTTCCGTATGGCAGCATTTCCTTCTGCCCTTTCTCCACCCAGTGTCCCACCTGCCCCCATGCAAGCATTGCATCTGGGAAAGCACAGAAAAGCAGAAACCTCCTCATATTGCCCTACTTAAAAAAAAAATGAACAGGAATGGTTTATTGTGTCAATATTCAGGCTGAGTGATAAGAACATGCTTATTTAAATATTTCATTATTTAATTATTCTCACTATACTTGTGTATACTCTAAATTAAGCATAATAAAACAGATCTTCAACACTTGTTCAAGGATGTCAAGTCCTCAGGTTTGCCTTCAAGGTCCCTCAGGCTGTCTGTAAGATACCATAGCCACAGCCTTCTGTATTTCTCAACCTTGGTATGCAGCCCTATCTTGGACCATGCACTTCCACATAACAGAGCAGCTGCCTCCTCTCCTGCCTACAAAGTGCTTCTTCCTCTCTTGAAGGCGGCCAAATCAAAATGATTCCTGATCCATCAAAGACACCTTCCCAAACTCTCCCTGATCCCGAGAAGATGGGGATGGGGGAGGGTGTGTCCTTTGGCCCGATATGCGTATATGCTGAATGTATTTCAAGAGAGCAGAATGTTTTAGTTACTCAAATAGGTACGAAATTTACTTCAACTTGGGCAAATTGAGTAATTCAAGTTGGCTTCTGCTTCTCTCTTTAGGAAATGAAAGTAATCAGTAATCGTAGTACTTATCTCACAAGATTGGGGTTGCCTCTAGTTTGCTTTGTCCTCTACGTCAACAAAGGAAGATGATATAGGGGAGATGGGAGAGGAAAAAGGAGAGAGGAGGTGAAAGAGAGGGAGGGAGAGGGCAGAGGAAGGGGAAAAAGGAGGAATGGAGCGGAGAGCGGAGAGCTGAGAGCAGAGAGGAAGGCAAGAAGGGAGGGAGGGAGGGGGAGAAGGTGGGAGAGAGAGCGCGTGCGGCGCGCCTGAGACCGACAGGCACACAGACTTCAAGCATAGTGTCGATAAATAATTACCCAACTTGTCCAAGATGGAATGTTTCTGAAACCTACAGGTAAGACGCTGCTGTTTATGGGAGCGAGGGAAAAATAATTGCCATCAAAGCTGCGATTCCGCTCTGGAAACTGAGGACAGTTCGTATTAGGAGGGAGGTCTTCAGAGGTCCAGACTAGAGTCTTCCCACTCTAAAGTCTTTAGCAGTGATCTCGCCCCAATTCCAGGGGCTAAGGGCTAGGAGCTAGGGCTAACACGAAAACTCATCCTGGTGACAGCTTCAGTCTGTGAGCCTCAGAGTGCTTGTGATGGGATGCAGGGTGACAAAATCTGTGTGGGTCCATTGCGAGTCATCCCCCCTCCTTCTTTCCCGCCCCACTGTCGCTGCCACCAGCCTCGCTCCTCTGGGTTCAGTGGCCTCGTGCGTCACCGGCGCGGGCGGGGACAGAGGGGAGGAGGGGGGGGGGAGCTGCAAGGTGAGGGCTTTAAGAAGCCGCGCGCCTCCGCCACAGCTCAGAGCTTGCGGCGCTGCGCGCTGGCCGGACGTGCGGGCACAAGCTCGGTGCCCGGCTCCAGACGCGCCCGCAGCTCCTTCCACTCGGTGCGAGCTTGTAGCCGCCTGTGCCCCGAAAGGTGGCCAGACGAGCGGCGAGCCCCGAGGGATCGGTCCTCTGCTCCTGCAGCGCATCGTCTCCAGCAGCAACAGGTAAGCTGTTGAGCTCCGCTTGGGTCGCCGCGGGCCCCCAAGCCCAACAGATCCCCTAACCCAAGCGCCAGGACACCCTTTTGCCAAGGCTAGAGGGTTAATAACGTTGCGCATGAGGTCCGCCAGGGCTCTCCAGGTGCCCTGGCTTATCCCGGGCACTTTTTCTCCTGCGTCCTCTCCCTCTCCCTAATTTTCATGTTTCCTTCCTGCATTCTTTGATTCTCAAACCTCTCTCTCTCTCTTTTTAAATTCTGGTTAGCTTTTTCTTTTCCCATTTCTCCATGCCCCTGTCTCCTACTGTTCCTCTCTCTCTCTCTCTCTCTCTCTCTCTCTCTCTCTCTCTCTCTC